ATTGTTGACATTATTATTATTATAATTACTATTTTGATCATCATTATCCATTGCTACTAACTTATATATATTATGCTCATTATTATTGGAGTTTTATCTACTTTCTCTTAAGCATTAGTATTATTACAGCATTAGCATTAGCATTCGCAAATAGTATTAGCAATATATTAGCATTAGCATTGCATTAGCATTATAATTACCCATCCATATTTAGCTGTTGATATCGTTAGTTTTATCAATATGATGATCCTCATAGTTATTATCATTGTCATTAGCATAAACATTGACATTAACATTATTATTATCATCATCATCATTGTTGTCATTGCTTGTTTATCATTATCAATTCAATGGCATTAACATCATCTATCATCATCATTATAATCTGTATTATAAATACTATTAGTGTAAGATATATTAGTATACCTTACACCTGGCTAAGCAGTTAAGCAACAACTTTATTTAGTCACTGAATTGGTTTTATTTTTAGTTAAATAAATCAGCTTAAAATTTTTGATGACTTGACTTTGGCATTTCCTGTTGACATGAAAAAGCAAACTCTACTTTTTATATTCAATAATGTTTTTATCTCAATATCCATATCGAGCCAATCAATCATATTAATTAATTGAATTCTATTAGAAAACTTTGCATAGCATGAATCAATTTTCAAATAGAAACTAGCAAACACTAAGCTAGATATGCTTAAATATATTTCTCTGGATATTCTAGAGCTCTAATTGGTAGATGTTGTCTGTGCGTTGCCTTTTGAATTTAATTAATTAAATTAGAGGCACATATCGATGGGGCAGAAGGAAATTAAATATATCTGGACATTACTAAACATATAAATATATATACTGTATATGTGTAGATATGTATATATTAGATATATGGGTAGGTGGGGACAGGCGCCACAGCTAATCTTTGGTCGGCAAATCAAACGTTGCGGCGGTGGTTCAAAGTGCACAAAGTTGCAGTCGGCCATCGCCAGTTACCAAATGCGAACAATTGTGAACTACTACTGCCAGTGGCACTGCTGCCCACTGATACAAACTATCTGGCTGGCTGGCTGGCAGGTGAAAATTAATTGCTGACCATATAGACATGACACGAAAGATCACGAGACGCAATCAAAGCGAGCCGAATCGAAGCGAAGCCCACAAGAGTGACAAACATCTATTAGGCATTTAATTAAAAGTTTCGCACTTGCACGAGTCTACAGATATAGAGATGGGCGTGTGTTCGGTGAGAGGAGTGCGGCTATTGTTGTCATTGATAACATTTGAATAAGCATTCTTGTTCTTGTCGAATACTCGGACAAAGTGTCGAACTCATGCATTCAAGTTTCCGCCTTCAGATAGCGAACACAAACACAAACATTTGCCGACAATTACTTAGCAGCTGGCGCGGCAGATAAGCCCCGGCCTCTGCTCCACTTAAGTCCCGATATCGATACGAAACTAGTCTATAAGCATATTGATTTCGTATTTACATTAGTCCGTCCATTCGACTTAATAATGCGATTCAATAGATATAGATGAACGCCGATCTGATTGGCTCAAGTGCTGGCTGGCGACAGGCTGACCCAGCTTTAGCTGCTTTTGGGTGGTTTTTCGGGCGCTGTTTGGGTGGTTGGGTGGTGGGCAGACGGAAAGATTTAAACACGCTATCCGTTGACAGATGACCCGGCTGGTTGGTCACCTGGTCGCACCTGTGCTGCTGTGGTGCTTCGGTGCTTCGATGCTTCGTTGCGGCGCTGATGCCGAACTCAATGACAATGTAAAACACAGTGTTTTGGTCAGCCTAACCACGCAGACTACACTCATCCGATTAAACTTTTAAATAGATGTCAAACAAACTACATTCAGCTAACTACAAGGACTCGCCCTTGCCGTCCGCCCGCCCGCCCGCTCGCATGCCACTAAATACAAGGACTCACATGACTTGTCCTCATACTCGGCCTCGTTCTCGTCCTCGTTCTCGTCCTGATGTTGGCTGATGTCCTCGCTGCTAATGCTGCTATTGCTGCTGCTGCTGCTGCTCCTGCCGCAGTTGTCTTAGGCCTGCATACACATTCAATCCCTCAGGCTCTACACACATTCACACACACACACTCACACTCACACACACCTTTGGCCATGTCCGTGTTCAGGTCGAGGCATTTAGCTTCAACCCCTGCCGCAACGACTCGCTTAACCAGGCCGTGACGAACAAATGTCCGAAATTTAAAACTTTAGTTACGTCGCCTCTAAAAATGGTATTTTTGGGTTTACTTCTGGGTGTTGACCGTACCGGACACTATATGACTTGCCTTGCCTTGCCTTCCCTTTCGGCACATAGTTAAGCTAGCGCAGCGGTTGGGCGGAGCTTTTCCAAATAGTTGAGATCTGACATTGTTTTCTGCAACACAAACATGAAATTTGGCGACACGTTTTCAGGTTTCGGTTACGGGTTATGTGTCGGCTTCAGTTTCGGTTATTATGTTGTGGATTGTGGTCCGAATAATTATTTGTATACTAAATAGACTAAATATCTGTCTAAATATAGAGATATGGTGTGAGTAAAAGCTATTGGATAGCTGTTCAAGTATTGAAGGACTGATGAAGCTAAAAGTTATTTTGTAGACTTTATTCCTGGTAGTACTGCAGATGAGATAATAAATGTGATGAAAATGTATGATGAGATGAATATGGATATGTAAATATTTTGTATTAAAATGTTCCTAAAAATAAGATAGATAATAATGTCATATCAAAATATTTGTCATATAATTCTTAAAAAAAAACTCTCAATAAAGTCAACATTTATTGATTAAGCAGTTGGAACATTTTCCAGGGTTGATTAGCTAATGCGCTCTTTGTTATCTAAAGATTAGGTTTTCGTGAAAACGCCTTGCCTTCATTGGCATCTGTCACCAGGCTACAAAGGAACTCGGAGCGCCGTGACAAATCAGATAATTGCGTCTGTCAATCAACAAATATGAGTTTATGAGTTATTCAAGAAAAAAATTTCAAAATTTGAAAAAATTTCTGGCAAAATTATTAAATTATTAAAACCGAAAAAAAAAAAAAAATATGATAAGCATGGAGGATGGAATATGAGCATAGAAAGCTACTTATAAAAAATGCAGCTTAGCCGAACTATATCTTCCCATATAGTATAGATAACAGTTATTCTAATTTTATATTCTAATATATTTTATTGCTTTTTTTCAAAGTTTTTATCGATGCTAAAATACAAAAGAAACCCCATAAATATCCACATCTTAAAAATTCCGCAAACGTACATCAAATCATAAAAATACAATATAAAAGGAAGCATTTATTATCAATTTTATTTTTTTGTGAAGCAACATACATACATACATATGCTGTTAGAATAAATAATAGTCGCAGCTATATAAAGATTGATATGATTTTATGTCGAATTGAAACAATTTATTATAGCACTCTTAAATATAGATATGGTTTGCTAAAATAAGGGAGCAGAGTTAAAATATCTGACTTTTATTTAGTCATATATGTTTGTTATGTATAATATGGCTTTAAAGAGTTTTCTACGTTTTTTCTATTCTTCACTAACTACTTTATGAATATTCGAATACTTCATATAATGATATACTACTTTGTATACTAGCGTAGGCAATCTAGTATCTAGAATGGAGCATGTAAAGTATCTAGAATATCTAGACAGTTGTATAAATACAATCTTGCATGAATGCAATAAAACAAGTTTTTTCTGTTCACACGGAATGCATTATCTACTTTGTATCTTCATAAACATACTGATAGATATGCTTCATCACACTTTATAAACCTATCTATATGTTTAATCTTAATTTTATATAACAACATCTATGCATTCCCTTGTTTTTTCTATATGTATATTGCCAAGAATTTATTTTATGCACACCTACCCCATTCGATTCATATACATAATTTCTTGTATATAAATATCTTGCTACTAAAATACCTTTTCTATTATGTCTTTTCTTATATCCTTCAGCGTATACCCAAAAAAGGAATCAAATATAAGTTTTTTGCTATATATACCAAACTATTCATTGCATTCACAAAATAGATATTTTTCCGCAATCCCATTAAATAATTGTATATAGAAAGTCTTTCTTTATACAAACCTATCTCTTAGTTATTCCGATTGCCATCTAGGTAGACATACATATAGCATATATTGCATATTCAGTGAGTTTTTCACGCATTTCGTCTAATTTGTGCGCGACTCAACAATGAGATTTGTTTGTACTTCTTTGTTGTACATTGATTTAAATACACTTTTGGGGGGCTGGGATTATGCACGGGCACATTAGAATTGTAAAGCGTCGATTAAAGTTTTGTATTGCTTATTATTGTGGCACGAGAAAAGGAAAATCGAAAAGAAAAGGAAGGAAAGTAAAGGAAAAAAGAGTGGCGCGATAAACGCGGCTGGCGTGGCTGCTGTTGAGGGGAAGTGTGTGAGCGAGACAGCGAGAGCGCACGAGGGTTACATTCGTATAGCGGCACGCTTCACTCCAACGGCGAGAGGTCTGCAGATAAATGCGCAGCCATTTTTTAACGGGCGGTGCTTGTGGCTGCACGAGAGCTGAGCACGAAATAGTGGGGAAATAGTGGGAAATTTGTGACTAGGTTTTTCTCGCCAATGCCCGACTGGATTTTAAAAGCGGGAAAACTGTGTGGAAAATGTACCACACAGTGTGCAACCTTCACACTCGACGTCGACGTCGAGTTCGAGTTCAGCTTTCGCTTGGGAACTATTCGCCCAGCTATCGTTGGCCTGCACTCTGTGAAAGCTCAGCAGTGGACGAAAGCTTTTCCAACTCGGAAAAGCTACGCATGCTGCAGCCATAGCCTGCACCTACCTACGTGAGCCTCGCCTCTAAAATGGCGGCACATTCATCGGAATGTCGATAAATCAAAGCTTCGCTGCTTCTCGCAATGGCTCTGGCAATGGCTCTTCTCTTGGCTTGGCCCAGTCCAGTCCGGAGGCAGCGTAGCAAGTGGCTGCGGCATTCATCACAGAGAATTAATCAGAGCAGATGAAGCGACAACCGAAAAATAACGACGCGGCATCTACTGAAAGGCTTCGCGTTATCGCTTCAATCGACAACGCCGGCTCTCAGTCTTCCTCTTCTACATCGTCCACATCTTCGACTTCGTCGTCGTCTTCTTCTTCTTCTGCGTGACCAGGCACCAGATTCTGTACACACACACACACACACACGCATGCACCTATTGATATGCATGTCTCAAAGCGGGTAGAGGGAAAGAGAGAGGGAGAGGGAGAGCGGCGCTTCGCATCGATAGCAGCGATTGACATTGACGTAAATTCTCAGCCTTTTGGACTTTGTATTTGGCCTCCGCCTCAGCCTCTGCATCCATCAAAAGTGCGCGCCCAGCGTGTGTCAAATTATAAATTCTTCCTCTTCTCTGGCTGATCGCAAAAAATGTAAATCTAATTTCTGGCCGGGCATATTCAAAATAGGTAATGGATTTTGCATTTGGGCTGACAAGTACAAGCCCATTTAATCAATAATTAAGCATAATCCATCAAGTACAAAGTGTCAAATGCACTCGCGAACACTTTTTCTCCTCGTTTTTGTTGTTGTCGTCGCTCAAGCTTAAAAAGGATTTCCATTACGCCCCAAAAAGCCGCATCGCTCAAAAATCCAAAATAGAAAAAAATCAAGTTGTCCTTGTCAAAGCGAGAGAGAGAAAAAAAAACATTCACTACACGAAACAAATCCGCGCTCGTCACATCTGCATGTCAAACCAGCAGCCAAACAACCCTCGAGCCCAACTGTGCCCTGTGTCTGCTACAGTAGAGATACGATAGCAGCAACAGCAGCAGAAGCAGCAGCAGCCGGCTTATCTAAGCTGAAAAGCCAAAGTCGTGCCCTTGCCCCCCCCACCCCAACTCCCGTTCCTGTTCCTGTTTCTGTTTCTGTGTTTGTTCCTATTCCTGTTTTAAGAGCTGGGACACAACAAATGTTGTTGCTCTTGCTCTGGTAAATGAGTCAATGGATCTGTAACAACAAATGTCCATTTTTCAATTTACCTGACCGTGTCTCGCCCTCTCGCCCTCTCGCGTCGCCCCCTCGTGTCAACCGCGCAGCCTGCATAAATTGAATCTCACAGTAGAGACTCGTGAATAAATAAACAAAACACCCACCGAATCGCTCTATAAATTAGACCCTGACCAGTGGCCGGTGACATGGAGTGACTTCGACTCGGTTTAGCCAGCGGCCAAATGGCCGTGAAATTTTTCCAATATGCCTTGTTTCATTATTGCGGTACACGCTATTTCCCTCTCCCTCTCACTCTCGCCCTCTCCTCTGGCTGCCCTCATCTTCAGCCTCAGTTTCCCCCTCCTATTAGTCATTTAGCATTACGACCATGTCCATTCGCTTGTATATCCGCCAGCACTTATATATACATATATATCGAGAGAGTGAGAGAGAGAGAGAGAGCGAGATAGATCGAAACTGTGGAACGCACTCATAAATTATGCCTTTGCACCCTGCGTGGACGAGTGCATAAATTTGTGCTTCGCTCCTTCCGCTAGTTTAACATAATTTTTAAAAGAAGCAACTGCTCCAGTTTCTCGCTTATAACATTTGGCCTGATCTGAACGTCTGAACGTCTGACGTCTGTCCAGTTTAACTCTTGAGAATTTATCGTCCATAATTTGTCATTTATTTGCAAAGTCCATTGTCTTGACTGAGTTATCTTCCTGTATGTCAATTGAATACTCGGGGGTAGTTAGAAGTTACTCAAGTAAGTTCGAGTACCTGAATGTTGCTTAAGCTCTGATGATAAAAATATGATATGATGTGGATATGATATGATATGATGTCGGGCTATGACGTGAACTATATCCACGGAAATCCTACCCACATATGTGCACGATCTTTATAGCTCACTTGTAGATATGAGAATCGCATAGAAAGCATTTTTTATGGCTTGATATAAATTGATTTTATAATTATGTAGTCAACTGGCAGAGAGAGAGAGAGAGAGAGAGGGAGAGAGAGAGTGAGAGAGAGCAATCCTTGGAATTATGTAGAGTTTTATATGAATTTATGAGAATCGCATAGAATGGTTATACTAATCAATGCAATTTGCAGATCATACACGTATTATTGGACAAGTACATGAGGGAATATGTGAGAGATATATATCTAAAGCAACTTAGGTGAATATTTAAATACCCATTTATATATACATATATATACATATATATATCCATATATATATCCATTATATATACATATATATATCCATATATATATATACATATATATATCCATATATATATCCATTTATATATACATATATATATCCATTTATAAACTTTATTCCACCGGATGTCGCTTCTTGCAATCAATCACACAATATTGAGCTGTCATTAAGCAGTTCGGCTTCTGCTTAGCGCTTCTTCATCGTGTTTTATTGCTAGTTAGCTAATCAGAAAGAAATCCAAATGTTTGATTAGTGATTCATAAGGCCATTCATACTTAAGGCAAATTGGATGTTGGCCATTATAAATGATGTCTGTGCGCTGGCTATCGCTGGCTGTCATCGCGATCATAAAGTGATGTATATGTACATATTAACATTTCATTTCAACAATTCATTTTCATACACTTCACGTCATTTATTTTCAGAGAGGAATACTCATTAATGCTTTTACCAGCTAATGTAAACAACGCACACACACCCAGACACACACACACACATACAGTCGCACACAGATGCAAAGAGTCGCATGTGAATGGATTGAAATTTATGAAAGGCCATCGCAGCATCAAAGCCAATTAAGATACTGCCATTGAATACATACAAGCTTTAAAGGAATACACGACTAATTTCTGCGACAAAGCCGACAAAAGATCCAGTGCGAGTGAGAAAGAGAGAGGGAGAGAGAGAGTGAGAATGAGAGTGAGGCTGGACTGGAGGTGGATTGGGAAGTTGGGTCCACTTTTGTCGCAGCGGCACTTTTGTGAGCCGAAAGACAGGCCGTAAAATTAAGAACTCTGATTGGTAACAAATGTTTTTGTTCATTCGAGTGATAAAAACGTAGCGAACTGAAAAGATATAAAATTCTCTTTAGTGTCTACTCGGCGCATCAATGATAAAATATTTAAATGAGCGAGGCACATTTGCAGGAAACCAAAAACCAAACACCGAACACCGAATGCCGACTGCCGACTGCCTAAAGCGGAAAGCCAGCGACCGCAGCGGCCCTAATGGGCCTATGTAAGCATCTATCTGGACATGGACATGGCCAACATGGTCAAGGGGCACCAAAAGTGTGAAGGAGCCGAACGCCAATAGCCGCCATCCAGCTGCCCAGATTAAATAAGAGAAACAACGAACCGAGCCAATATGAATACACGGCTAGCATATTAAATTACAATCCGAACGACTTTCCGATTGACAAGTGGACAACGCTGGATCGGGGCACTCGTGTGCTGATTGTCGGCAGGACAAAGTCGTTGGCCAGGTTGAAGTCGAAGTCGAGGTCTGATTCTTGTTCCTTGGCCTGGTCGAGACGTATCATAAAAGGCATAAACAGTTGTAAAGAGCAAAACCACAAAAGGGGCGTAGAGTTAAAAATTGAGCACTAAAACGTTATCGAAAGCGGGACAGATTAACTAGGCTCAGACAGACGGCGGACAGGTAGGCAGGCCAGCAGGGACAGGTAGTTGAGTTCAATGCATATATCGCATGCATCTTAAAGATACTTGTACAACATTATGTTCATTGCTCTGTTGTAACAGATACTCACACACACACACACACACACAGATCGACCTGGCACACTGCGTGTGATCGATCAGGCCGTGCAATTAAAATGAGATCTGCCCAGTTGGCAACTGGTGCCAGCCAGGCCGAGAGCGCGGAGAGTGAGTGACCCACAGCGGCGCTATTGTCCTGCCCGTTGTCCATTCACAAGTGTCGTCGCGTCAGTGACATAGTGAGACGCAGATAAAACTAGAAAAGGACTCGCTGCATCATTGATAAGGCTGCGGCTGGACCAGCGCCTGGCGCCAGCGTCGCCTAGATCGAATTGCCCTTCCTTCGAGGGGACATTTTTCGGGAGTGAGAGCGAGCGACCTTCTTCATTCATCAGGCAGTCAAATTTCGGGACACAGTCGAGCTCAACTTGAATTTTTAATGCCCTCACTGCTGCTCATAAAATAGATAAAAAGTGGCACAGCACATGTAACGGTGCCTGAGAACTAAGAGATACCCTGTATCAGCCAAAGGAGTCCTTCATTCATGATTGCACATGATGTATGGGAACTGAACGATATCCTTGAGCTACTAAGTTAAGTCTACTGTGTTTGTATGTGGATCTTTAAGAATATTCTTATAAATATATATAATGATTATATATGCTTAAGGAGCATTTATATGGCTATAGAATAACAGTTCTATGGTAAAAATGTTCACCGATTATTCATGATGCAGCTATTCGTGGTCAAAATCAGAGAAAGTCCAAAATACCCAAATTTATGTTATAATAAATACAGGGTATTCTGGTTGTTCACTTGTACATCAACATTTAACATATATAAAAAACTGTTAAGTAGTTTTCCATTTTTAATTATGTAACTAAATAATGTGAAGTACTGTATGGATGGGAATACTCTATTTGTGTATATTCATATTTAGCCCATTTTCTAATATAAAATTTTATTGCTATCAACTTGAGCTATGTACATAATATAAACAACCATGAGTGTCCTAGTCTGTAGCATTCTAAAACTTGCATTGAACCACTGTAATAAATGTATTTTTAATAATATTCAGTGCTCATTAATAAATCAATCGAGGCTTAGAAATATTTCAAAAAAAGCTTATGAAATAATTGTAATATAATAAGATGCCTAAAGTCCTAAATTGTTTAGAATAGAATAGAACTTGTCAGTAAATAACAGCACAGGACTTTTAAATTAAGAGTTTTTTTTCTCTATTGATTCTTGTAACATATAGCTCAGGGAATCAGTCTCGATTCCATATATATCTTTCATTTGAGGCTCAATTATTTCAATAAAGTGTACTCAAGCTATCGTAATTACTTGATAATTATCAGCAACATTTTTATGCCCATACAAACATACATATTTCATTTCAAGGCTCAAGTGTTTGTATTTAAGCTCTTCAAGTCAGTGGCACAAGGGAGGCCACGTTTCGATATTTCTGGAAGGCTTAATCTTAACATTTCTCTACCCTTAATTGAATTTCGTGAAACATTTTTGCCTTTTGGCATTGATTTCTATGAGGGGTTGCAACGTGGACTCAGCGCTTGGGGCACATAAATAACATCACGTGTTCCAGCTTACATATTTATATCGCTGTATTCACAAGGAGATATTTATATGTATATTTGTATGTATATATATGCATGATCCGCAACGAAGCTGCTTAATATAGCCACGTTTATGCCTATGTTCGCTTATCTATGCGAATTTATCGATTCGTTAGAGCGAATAAAATAGATTAAGAAATTACATTTGTTTTTAGCTCAATGCAAAGGGATTAAATTGTGTATATAATTGTATATATATATTTTAAACTGAATATAGTGCGTAGAATATATTTTATACGGAATATATAGCAATACAATATTGTATTAGTTGAATTGGAAATCGAACTGCTATGCTCAATTCAATTATGAATCAAGCCACATTTATAAGAATATTTTTATATATGGAAGTCTCAAGAAACAAAACACAAACGAATAGTAAATAAAATAGAAGAACAAAAAATATACTCATAAAAGAAAATTATCATACTCTTCCATATACTGTTAATAAAAAAGAAAATTATGGAAATATCGAGTGACCATAACGTATTTTTTTAATTTTAATATTTTTTTGTGAATTAACAACATAAAAATACTTTGAAGTCTTTTTTTTATCTATGTACATATATCGATCTATCTATTTCACATTATTAGTGCAAAGATTTCATTGTTCATTCAACTTTTGAAGTTTGAGATGATCTTTTGAGTATTGTCTTGTCGTACTTCTTTTTAGGCCTGATCGCTGGATAATCATTCGTTGTTCTCATATTTAAATTGGCGCCGGCGCCACCTGTCAGACCGTCGCTGTATTCTTGCACGATCCGGCTGTAACAATCGTGTAGTTGCTAAAAGTGCCCGCTGCCCGAGTGCCCGGCTGCTAGGCTGCCCAGGAGCTGCGGCGATCGCCAACGACGCCAATTGCAGTGTGGCCAGGGTAGAGAGATTGCGAGAACAATGTTCTCGTTACACAAAAATCATGTTTTCTGCGCTTGCCCTTGGAGGTCGGTCGTGGCCAGCATTTGCCATCAATTGCGCAGGCGGGCCACACAGCGGCAGCAGCAGCCGCAGCAGCCGCAGCAGCCGCAGCAGCTGTACCCCAGCAGCTAGCGACGGGGCCAACAATGAGAGAGCTGGCTGTTAGGAGGCATTCATTCAGAATGGCCAGTTCGAGTTTCATTTGATATTTGTGGCGTCTCGACTGCGTCGCCAGCATCCTAAACCACAACGACCCCGTTGTGATCCTCGCAGCAGCAACAGTATTGTTTGAGACAATCTAGACTGTCCATTGAGCAACTGCTCAAATCAGAGAACCAAGACGAAGACGAAGACGCAGACGCAGACGCGGACGCAGACGAGGTTGTAGAAGAAGTGGCTAATGCGCCGACACCCCGCTGCGACGGTGTGCGTGAGGGCAGAGTCGTCTTTAATTGAGTTATACGACTGACCCTTCGGCTATACCTGATCCTGCTCTGCCGGAGGGTTGCCAGCGGCTTAATGTACCATGTTTTGACATAAATAAATGCCTGAATACATTTAAGTGATCGTATTTTGTTTGACTTTCTATGCCCAGCAAGCAAAACTGTTTGGCATGATTTATGTTGCTCGATTTGCCAACTGCCACAATGTATATATCTGTTTGGCTGCGTATAGAGATCTATTTTGTCTGGCAGATGAGGATGTGACCGATATTACCCACATCCAGGCCGTAAACAGATAACAATAGTTTATTAATTCCCTCCGACAATTAACGCTTCAGCCATTTGGGGTGGCATTGTCACTCTCCTGTTCTAGCTCTAGTTTGTATGAGAATATCTTTTTGGTTAGCATTCTATGTCTCTATCTAAGTGCTTTGAGATAGATACAGTCATGCATTCCAAATATTTTTTCTATATTATACATTTAACACAAATTTTTGTAGGTTCTATCAGGGATTTTAATTGGTATCTGCATTAAATTTTCTTTTTTTTTTAGAATTATTTTGCTTCTTTTTTTTTTTTTAAATAATTTCAGATCTTATTTAAGCATTTCAATCGATTCTATATACCAAATATTTAAAAATATATATATATTATACAACTAATTTATTTTTTATTTTATCTGCGATCCATTAGACAAGGGAATGACCGGTTTCTATAGCAAATTTGCTTTGTTTTTTTGTAGTTTTTAATTTACCTAATTTATATATTTACATAAATCGTTTTATAAACAACTCTACCTTCAGCACTTTTCTACAATTGTTCCAAATGGATTTCGATCTTAATGGAAGCCAATTGGACATATACAAAAGTATGCTACGTTTTGTTGATTGGAAAAATGATTGCATACTTTTAGGCAGTTCAAATATTAACATTCAGTGATCCTCTTGAATACGCAATAATAAATATATATATATTTAATTTAAGCTTGAAATCGATTTTTAATAATATTACTTAAGCTGATAAATATGGCAGCTCAAATATTATAATAATCTTTGATGTTCAATCAAGAGCTTGATATGTGATTTGTAAATTATAATTAGCAGCTTTATATAGTATTTAAAAATGTATAGACCCAATAGAAACTAATTCTTAGCTCAGCTGAAATATTAATAAAGCATCGAAATATAATTGAGTTCTATATGTGCTATTGAGCACTTAATTACTTAAAAATCTGCTGTTAAATGCAAATTTGAATCTTTGTAGCAATTGTAGTTTGCTTTAAGAAAGAAGGAAATAACTTGTATTGAATTGATGTTTTCACAATCAAGTACTCATGACAATCGAATAAAACTTTACACCTATATCAATTTCATTATACTATACATATATAATTAAATATATATACACATTATTTAAAAGTTCCTTTTTTTTTTAATTTTCCATACATTGTTTATGCGTGCCATGCAACATGTTTTATCAATCATGAGTATCCAATAATCATTAAGTGAATTAGGCAACATTTGTGCAACATAATTGCCAATACCTATTTTCTAGATTTTATTTATTTGTATTATACTATTTTGGGACACATACTTAGGTCGGGGGTAAAATTTATACAAAGTAATTTAATCTACATAATTTAGCTTCTTGTAATCAAAAATTTGCCTCTTCAATTTTATTTTTGCTTGATTTTGTATTAAATAAACTGAAAATACACCGACTTATTTATTTCATGATGTGATCTTATGCTAGGCTTAAGTAGAAGTGCTTAAAAGCCAATTGGCTGTTCTTTAGCTTCTACTAAAAATATTTGCATAGAATAAGCACTCTTTATATCAACAATTTCTTTTATGAGTATACAATATTTAAGAAGCCTTTATTACATTTTTATGCAGCAGATTTGAGTATATAATTAAAACTATTATTGCGTTAGCTCCATTTTCAGATATGAACATATACGGTTAGAGCCAGATTTCGATAGTTTTCATCCATGTCGCAGCCAGAACCCAAATCTGAAAATCATAAAAAATGTTAGCAAATTATGCAACAAGAATATAATAATCAGCGTATAATAGCAAACCAGTTAAGCAGCCTCCGAATCCGCATCAAAGATAGTTAAAGCCACTAAAAAAACAATAAAAAAAATCATTCAATTATTGTTAGAGCATAAACATTCAACGATCTGCAGTTAACACAGCTCAACTTACATTAAATTTGTATATTTAATATTGGCATGAATAAAAGAAATAAGGGAAAACAGAGCCAAGTGTGCAACAGGCTGTAGAGGCAGACTGTTTGTCTGCTGGCTGGCTTTTACGAAGCCGAGGTTCTGGGCCCAAATGGAATGCCAATGAATGAATCAAATGGATGCGATATACAAATTTACGTTTGTCTTGAGGTCAGCATTGAAACCCACATCGTCATTTGGGTCTCAACAGATCTGAGAGACATCAATAAGATTAGCCAGCAGATAAGAAGTTTCCGGTCAAACCGAAATAAATGAACGAGAATAGCTTCGCTACACTGGTGGCACGAAATATTAGACAGACTGTGTTGGGAAAGCCAATCAGCTGTGAAGCTTGAGCTGGCATAAATTATAATTAAAATTCGAGTTATTAAAATTAATTTGATAAATATATATAAAATTTATTTTTTTCCTGTATAGAGTATACATTTCATTCAGACAAATTGTCCTGTCCGACAATTTGTAAATATATTTTGACAGTACTTAAGAGAGTAAATGAACACGCTGTTGTATGTTTGTTCGCTTGTCACTGATATTTATACTGCTGTCAACTATATGTGGGACGCGGCTGTGGCTGGCGCGGCAACAAAGCCAAAAGCAGAGGCAGAGGCAGAGGTAGGGGCAGAAGTAGAGGCACACACTAAAAAGAGCTCGTAAATGAAGCTCCCCCGAATACATATGCGATGGCAGTTGGACGGGACGGAGTGGAGAACCAAATAAACACGTCGACTGCCATCCGTTCCCCACACTTCAAAAAACCGGCTAATTAATGACGTTTCCCCGTTTTCATGCCCCGATCCCGATCGACTGTCCTCTACAGCCTCTGCAGCCTCTACAGCCTCAACAGAGCGGTGCCATTTTTGTTTTGTTTTTGTTTTTTGGTTGCTTTGGTGACGGTGTCGTAAGTGAAGTGCCAATAAACACGTGATTTACTTCGGCTCTGGCCATGCTCAAAGAGCTCAGCGGTACGAGAACGCCGCACTTAGCCAACAGACGGTCTGCCTGACTGTGTGTGTGTGTGTGTTGGTCTCTCTCTCTTTGCATGTGTGTGTGTGACAGTCAAAATCATGAGGCTTATCGCTTCCATCGGCCCATCAAGATTCCGCTCATTAATTTTGAAATTAGGCGGGTTTTCAAGAAGAGCAAAGAAATGATGTCCAGCTAAAGTCCGAATAAAACAGCCCGGCCCCGACTCCGATGCATTTCAGTGGGACCAACCATGAGTGCATAAATTAATTAAGTCGGTCGGAATGTGGACGTGGACGTGTATGTGCCGAGCCGAGCCAAGCCGATCCGTGCCGTGCCGTGCCGTGCCGACCTTTTGTCTGGCACTGTGGCACTATAAGTAAAGAGCCCAGCCGGGGCTGTCCGCCCATCTACCTCTCTCCCTCTCCCACTCTCTCACTTAGTGTCTCTCGCTGTCTTTGTCTGTGGGCTGGGCGCTATATTCAAATTGAGCTTGTGTTGTTGTTGGCCCGTAGGATGTTGTAAATTAAAAGCCGCGGCTGGTCCTTTGTGCCCTGGCTGCAGCCTGCTGCTGCCTTTTGGCTGCTGGCTGCTGGCTGCAGTCTGCAGGCTGAGTCATTTGCATTTTGCCTACTGCTGTTGGCCTGATTATGAAAGATGCTGCGTGGGTGATAAATGACCATGCCAGACTGTATGTGGTGAAGAAGGGTGTGTATGCTCCACAATCACAACCACACCCGCACCCACAACCACACCCACTGCCGCCTTCCTAGCGATTGTTGCATTTGCCAAACACTGGCGAAATGTTAAAATTTTCAACCCCAGCGCAAATGGCAGCGTCGTTAACCCCTTGCTGAGACGTCGCTATGAGATTAGCTGATGGCCTTCGAAATTTATTTGTCTTCCAAGTCCCTCCCCCTGCACACAACTTATCTGTGGCCCTCACACTGACAAGGGTTGTGCATCCCGAATGCCAATCTAATAGATTCCGATTGAGATTTAATTATTTCACTTAATTTTCTAGCTGACTTCATGCGGCTGACTTTGCGCTTAACTTTCATGTCCCACGTCCTTTAACAAGTTAATGAAGCGAATAAATTTCTTGGCAATTATTTTGCGGATTGTTTTAATTGACCTCAAGATGCCCAGGCAGGCAACCAAAGAATGCGCACAGCGGACAAATGAATGGCCAAAGGCAACGCCGATAACTAATTTGCAGTAGATTAAATCATTAAGCGAGGGATTCGCACTGGCCAAAAGGCTGCCAATCTGTAAGAGCCACCAATTATACTAAACACTTTGGCTACTTGAGGTTTTCCCAATCATTATTACAGACCATCTCTAGCTATCGCTGTCCATGTGTCTCTCTAGACATGCATCGGTGCTCGAGCTTTGCCAGTGTCCCTTCAGTGTGTCGAGCTGCTGGCTTGATGGGCGGACGAACGGGACGTCGGATAGACGCATTGTTTATGATGAGTGATTGTTATGAGTTGTCAAAAAGGCATGTGACTCTCTGTCCCTCTATCTCTCTCTCTCTCTCTCTCTGTGTGTGTAGCTGGAAGTGTGTGTATCTAGTGTCTGTTGAGCAGGAAATCCAGCAGGATTTGTTAAAATATGCCGCCAACATATGCAAATATGTTTGCCCACACAAACCAAAGAGGCTGCGTCTGGACGTGGTACGTGGTACGTGGCAGACGAGCGCCACGTGACGCCAACGCTTCCACCCTCACGTAAGTGGAAACCTATCAAAGTGAGCCGCTGTCGCCCCCTTTTTCGTTGGCAAACAACCCTCCGGTGGTGGCCGGTGCTACACCGAGTTTGCTTTAATGTTTTGACAGTAAAATAAACATATCCAAGTACGACTCTAGCCAAATGTGTGCGCCCGGTCATAGTTGGTTGGGCAAAGGTTCAAGTGTGAGCGACAGCACATAGATGTCAAATATAATTCATCATCCATAGAGTATCATCAAAGACCTGCCTGCTGCCAAGGCCAAGGCCAATCGAGTCTCGAGCATATTGGCAGACAATGAGTGAACTACAGCATCATTATCGAGTTCGAGTACGACTATTGTCTCTGTCTTTTATCTCTGACCACATGCTACCCCTTGGCATATCGAGTCTGTGATTTATCACTGAGAATACGTGGCTGACTTGATTGGCTAACACCTGGCAGAGGTGTCAGTGCTTAGAATTTTATTTAATGGCCCAACAGGCTCACAACTTTTCCTAACTCTGTCAATTATGCTGGCGACAATTCGAGTTCGTTGTGGCTGGGCAAACACTTTACTTCAAATGGAGCGCATGAAATCCTTTTAAATAATTAATGTCAATTAGAGACAAAGTTAATTTTTTGGCCATCAGTCCGTCTGTTGGCATTCTCATGACCCGCAGGTAACACGGAGATACCTGAGATAGAGACAGAGACAGAGGCTGAGACTGTGACTGTAGCTGTAGCTGGGGCTGTCATAAATATTTTATAACATCAATTACAAAGCACTTAACTTTCATGAATTTAATACGAAAAGATGCCGGGCACTTCAGCTCGGCCGGCGCACAGATGCTCTCATTTATCTCATATGCCGAAGCAATCAGCACTCAACAGGAACAGGAATAGGAACAGGAAGAGCAATCATCGTTTTTTTTTGCTTTTGCTCACTCTGTTCCTCTCGGTCTGCTCCCGCCCGGGACAAGTGTAAGCCGCCAGAAACACGCACATACATATGTGTGAGCGCAGAGGAATCCCTGTGTGTGTAAGCCTCGGGCATAAGTCCATCAGGATCAGCCCGGGGCAATCTAAAGTGACTCGATAGAAAAGTAGTTGAAACAACCCCAAAGCAAAGTCCGGCAGCGTCTTGCTCCTTGTTCGATACGGCCAATATTGAAAGTGTGCTGATTTACTTCCCCCAGTCCAGCAGGCACTCAGATTGAGTTCGAGTGTCGGCAACAGCTAAACAAAATCCCAAATAAAATAAAATTAAAATCTCATCAGGGGCACAAGTGGACCCGGACTCGACGCCGGAGCCGGAGCCGGAGCTTTGCACACGTTGATGTTGATAAAAACAATATCAATAGCAGCAATACACACAAATACACAGGCACACACACACACACACACTCACATACATACAGAGACTCTGATATATATAGACTTGGCCTTGCGCCATGAACAGCTGAGGGCCAGGAGCACTTAGTCGCATCATCGAGGTTGGACGTTGGGCGCGTGCCGGCGTCGCCGCATCGTGAAACAATCCCCCATTGATATTCATGGCCGATTTTCGCGCGGCACAACCCAAACGGGAGCACAAGCCATGTTCCACACATAAATAAATAAAATTTATGGCGCATAGATTCGATATGTCAACAACTTTTCGATTGTACGCGCTGCACTACTGGGATTTCGGATTTCGGTTTTCGGATTTCTTATTTCGTATTTCGAATTCCGGATTTCAGATTGCGGATTTCAAATGTCAGATAAACATAAGTACGGCATAAGCCAGCTTTGTTCTTTAAGCAAGCATATCAATCAATTAAACATAGTTTGAGCCGTATCCGACTGAGAAATACTCTAACCCAAATGGGAATTTTATAAAATTTGATTAAAATATGAAATGTAGCTTGCAAATTGTTAGGAGGAAAATTTAAGCACCCCCTTTACATATATATTTCACGCTTAGAATTCCTCAAGCCGTTAAAAGTATATAGCCTTTTTTAAAAAAAATTTTCAAAATCCCTACAAATATTTTCAGATTTTTCTTGCTCACATTTTTCATTTAAAGCCAAACAGACTTTGACCTATCTTCCCACTTTTCATGCTTTAATTTCAGTTGACTTTCAGTCTATAACATATTCAAGTCTTATCACTCACCCGAATAATTTTAGATAAGTGAAAAGCTCAATTAACAAATTTTTAATATTATGCAAAATTCCTGTTTGCCTTTTGGAACTGCCTCGCAGCCCAAATAAACATAATTAGCTACTCGTCATATGTGTTGGAGTATGTGTGTGTGTGTGTCTAAATTTTAGAGTGGGTATTTCGGTAGAGCGAACCTCTAAGGTTTCATGTGTTCATTTAAATGCCGCATTGTGTTTCTAAAGTGTCCCCAGAGATCTTTTGAGGCGTTAAAGCGTGGCACCCCTTGTTTTGGACCAACAAAATGCATTGGTTTCCGGTTCGGCAACGCCCCGGCCAAATGGGGCGTAGTGGGCGGGCTACTCCGGTGAACGGCGAACGGCGAACGGCGAGTGGGAGTTAATTCGGTAAAGTCACTAACCTCATCAAAGAAGCAAAGGCGCTCTGGCCGTCTACCCCCGCAGGGGGGTGTCGTCTAGCTAGCCTGGCTGACTGGCTGGCTGGCTGGCTGGCTGGCTGGCATTAGATTTACGCCAAACGACGTGAGGCGCATATGTTTATGAGTCTCGTCGAGATTGAGTACTCATGGCACAGAGACAGCGGGGGCATGCCTCATGGTTAACCGAAAACGAAAGCAGTACGCGTTGCGCATAAAAGCCTCATGCCGCTGGCCATCGCCGCACGCTGCCTGCTAATGGATTTCAGAGTTACCGATGCCACAGCTACTGCTGCTGCTGCTGCTGCTGCTCCTGCTGCTGCTATTCCTACTACTGCCACTGGGGCAGGCTCTCCTCAGCCAGTTGAAGGGTTGCGAACGTTTTCGGTTTGCCCGCCCGGCAGCATGCTTTCAATTTACTTCCACTTCCTACGGCAAACGCCCTTCGCTGTTGTTGCTGCTGTGACTTACGCACCGTGAATGAATGCAAGAGCCGGCATAGACCGAGACCCAGACCCAGACCCAAGCCCAGACCCATGCCCAAGCCCAGGAGCAGTGCTTGCGGGCCGCCCCGGGTCTGGTCGGCATTGTTGCCGGGGTTTTTTCGGGCGCACGCGACTTTCACACTAACGTAATAAAGAGCTCAACGACACTCAAATTGAATACGTCTCATGGTGCGAATGGCGTAATGATTTTCTCTATGTGAAACTCGATGCAGATAATGGTGCGATACCCCTGCTGCCCGCCTGCCCCGCCTGCCCCGGCTGCCCGGACATCCACACCACTCACACCCACGCCCATTTGCCGCATCCGCAGCCACCCCTCGAGGTTGCTTGTGCTCTCGCTGTTTTTGTTTTTGTTTGCGTGGTGATAGAAATTAACCCCTCAATTGAGGTTGAATTTAATTTGGCGCAAAATGGCAAAAGAGGGTGGACCAGGACCCGGTTTGGACCGGGTCCTGCCACTGCCACTGCTGCTGCTCCTGCTCCTGCTGCTGTTCATTTGGCTGCACAGTTTGTGCAGTTGAAAATGATATCGCTAACAGGGCCATTGTCAAATTGTCTCTTATTAATTATGATGATGCGTGTGCCGCACTCTAACTCACGCTATCGTCCTCTCTCACCCCTCTCTCTCCGTCTCTTTCCCCCTCTCTGATGGGTAAAAGGGGAAATGCAAATTTGCCTGAGTTTGGCGTCTTTAACGTAATTTATTGCACGCTGCCTGCTCTGCTGGCTTAGAGTGAAAAGTTAATACCGTACGAGCTAGGCAGAAATTTAAATCCTCTACTTAACCCAACCACACACACACACACACACACACACACACACATACACACACACACAGAGAGGCAGACTTGAAGTTCAATTGATTTGCAGAGAGAAGCAACTATGCCAGGTACTCATACGAAAATTCGCTTCATTTACATCAGACAATAGCTGCGCAGCGAACAATGGCTGAGTCAACTGAAGCAGGAGGTGGGCGGTGGGGAGCAAGCGAAGGAGGCGGGAGCAAGGAGTCTAGGCACGTTGACATCTAGACTTCAGCTTTAAATCAAGCAGCTGACCTGCAACACAGTTAAATCATTGCGCATTAACCAAAAGCCTTTGTCTATTGTGAATAGTGCAGACTTATTCACAATTTAACTTAATCGAGTGTAGTTAGCCAAAGAGCTGAATAGCAGTTATAGTTGCCAATAGTAATTCATAGAGCAACGCTTTAAGCCACTTAAAACTGTATTCTTATACAAATTACTCTAATTGCTAATGCATAAGATCTAATAAGTAGCTAATTTAGTCGCAGTGCCTATATCATTTAGTTCAAGTCTAGAAAATTGCTGTAGCTCGGAGTTTATGTTGCGACGAGGAGATAAAGCGTGAATATGCATGTAAATACAAGTGCTTAAGCTGAAATGAATATACGTACGTTAATTAACTGTTAGAGAGAGGCTGCTGTTAGTTAGAGTCTGCGACTAGTTAAAACGAGGCTGGCTGGCCATGCAGAAGGCGCTGCAAGCATAAGAGAGCAAATTATTGGGTTTGATTAAGTGCGGGAGAATGAGGGGAGAAGAGCAATAATATTTCTGTATATACTCTAATATTGTTAATAGGCTTTACATTAAGCTTATGTTAAATTGATGGATTAAATAGGTCAATGAATACATATAATATATATATATATACATATATGGATATATTATTTTTAATCAAATACAAATCTAATTTAATTATTTATATATTTACTTTATAATGTATATCTAAATGCAATTCTATATAAAGACTTGTCAAATGAAAAGAAATGCATGCAGAGAGCTTAGGTTTTACGGAGAATAAACCTCGAGCTTTTCAGCCACACTTCATCAATGAGTTCCGTTCTTCTAATTGGTTCAGCGTTTCCAATTAGATTTCTGTCAACTGATGAAATTGTAAAGTTTCACAGGGTGAGTTAATTGTTCAAATTAATGAAGATTACTATGAACATATTCAATAAAGTGTTAGGCATGCAAAAATCGATCAAGAGAAAAGAATACATAAACCGGAATATGCATATTCTTTGCATTACTATATATTAGATGAAATGCTGCATGAAAAGTTGAAATAAAAAATAAACAAATATGCAGGCGGTCATTAAAACTATTTAAATATAATATATACATACATATAGAAAACTTCACTACAAAGAAAAGCTCTGGTATACGAGACCTTCTCACTTGATAAGCATATCTCACCTTCACCTGAAGCTAATCCAATTAAGATTCTTTTGCTGCTCACTAACTGCTCTGCCGTAGTTAGAGAAAATGTAAATAATGAAACGCCACGACAAGATCAATGGGTCAGCTCGTACAACTGCGCTCGCAGTCACACCCGACGGTGGAGTGGAGATTGGGGAGGGCGGAGTGCGGAGTGCGGCGAGAGCCACCTCAGGCGGGGGGCATTGCAGCTGAAAGTGCCACAATTTGCGAAATCGCAGCATGGCAACTAGCGCCAGCTTCGGCTTAAATCCCCCCTCTGCAGCGACTTCTGCGACGGCGAGTGGGCTCCACTTGGCCTGCGATATTTCATTTCTTTATTAAGTCAATGTCATATTTTGTGCGACAGTGGGCGCCGGTATCCTGGCTGGCTAGCTCTGTCTCCCTCGCTCCTGCTCGCTGCTGCTGCCGCTGCTGCTGCTCTCTGGGCGTGCTTGGTCAGTGGTTTTCGCTGTGGTTGGCTGTGGTGCACAGCTGGAGCTTGTTACTTTGATGTATTCGAGATGCTTTGTGGCGCGCGCGTTTATTTGTGGACGCGTCTGCTGCAGCAGCGGGACACCATTTGATGTGTGATCCGATCCGCACATTTCGGACATACCAACAGCCAGTTCATAAATAAATCTAAGCCAAGCGCTGTTTACACATCTAAGACGCTGTCATATCGAGCTACAAGACAAACAAATAATTGAGTTTCGATTACCTATTAGCTTACAAACAAACACACATGCACACACACACGGACACACACACACACACACTCACTCACTTGTAGCTAAACAAAAACCGAAAACCGAAACATTTGTCAAACGCTTGTCAAAGGCTGAAAAGCTTGTGGCATTTCGATGTGACAATGCATGAGTTCGAGCTACGATTGGGTCGACTAGGGCGCGGGGCTAGCTCTGGTGCGGTGCGGTGCGTTGGGGTGGGGTGGGGGCAGCCACGTAACCGCCCATTAGCCACATGCGCGCCTGCGTGACACATTGGCATCAATCAAAGTTTCACCCGTTTACTCTCAGTGCGTGTGTGTGTGAGTGTGTGTGTGTATGTGTGTTGTTAGGCATATGTGAGCTGGGCTTGGGCCCCTTTTGTTATTGTTGTTGGTGCGCGCCGCCTGCGTTGGAAAGCGCGTAAAAAGACATTTTGACAAATTCAAGTAGCGCCATCTACGCTCGGCTTTAATAGCTTTTATACTGCCTGTCACGATATTTCATCAGTCAAACGACCACACGATCCGAACGCCACGACCACCAGACCACGGGACCACGACCAGCGTCAACAGCAGCGGGCACAAATATACAGGCACACACACAGGCGCTCACACACACGCACACGCACACACACAGGCACAGACACATATGGCCGTCAAGGCCGGAAAATGTTGGGCGACACAGTAGCGCGAATTTTATTTGATGTTATTTCCATTTGAAAATGAGTTATTGGCGCTGGTAACAACCCCTAAAATCAGCACCCCTCAACCCGAACCCCTTACCCAATCTATATGTATATATATCCTCAGACAAACACGCAGAGCAGAGAGCAGGAACTCAGGGCGCGTGGGCGAGTGGGCGTGGGCGCGGCTGTGCGCATAAATTTTGGGTGCCAAGTGCTGCTCCCCTTTTGTTCGCAGCAAGCACCCCCAGCCCCCCCACACACACATACAGACATGCGTTCGTTCATTCGAATTGCGATTTCCTTTCATTCGCTTCTCCGATTTGATTTATTTTATTTGTTTTGTATGACACCCGCAAGTGCTGCTGCCCCAGCGGTATATTAATTTTGATTTTGTAGGCGTGGCTGGCAGCCAGAAGCGTTTAACTGCTTCCACAAACACAAACACACACACACAGGCATATAGAAATGTTAACTTGAGACATAATATTTATATTCCCACATCACGGACAACGGGGTGTGGTTAATCAAATAGACCTAATAACATATAACAGTGGGAAAATTACTGCGCTTTTCCTTTACGCTTTCCTTTTCCTTTGTATCTCTGTGTGTGTGTTTGTGTGTGTGTGTTGGCCAACACAAGTGGCCATTATCTTAGTTGACTCAGGGATTTGATTTAATGAGTGCCATTAGCTGCATATAATATATGTCTATATGTTTATCTTAACAAGTGTTTTAATTCTTATTGGAATGCTACTTAAGCAGCTATATTTGAGTATTATCTAATCTGACCAGCTTAGCTGACATTCCAATTGATTCACTTGAGTCGCTTCTCCTATTGGACTGCCAATTGGGATTTACAATACATTTTGCGTTATTATTTCATGCTAATCAAAGTCTCATTCACATATCTCCCCATTTAGTTATGTACAGGCTCTTATATGCATATGGCTATAAATGTACGCAGACTCTGATTGGGAGTGGGCGTTCCATCCAAGCTCCCAATTGGATGACTGATTGATGACGTGAATAAATGCTAAAGGTGTGATGAAGCAAATGCGTGCGAGTGTGTGCCACATTAGATATTCATGCGAATCTATATTGAGCATCCACATTGCATGTGGCGGCGCAGGGTGGTTGGCTTGGCTCGGGTGGTTTGGGTGGGCTTGCCTCGGGGCCGCCCACTCGCTGTTGCCGTCTGATAAATCACATATTTTCGCTGATCAAATCAATCTAATTGACATCACTCAAAATGATGGCAGAAAACTTTTCACATTCGTTTTCGCAAAATAAAAAACAAAAATAAATGAGTTCAAAATGGGACTACGCTGTAGAGAACGCCCCGCCACCCATGCTCCACGCCCAACAGCCCCAGGCGCTTTTTTGGCTTAATGGTGGCTATGTTTCGAGCCCGAGCGGTGCGTTCCACCAGCCAAGGCAACCAGCAGCCAGCAGTCAGCAGTTGCCATTACGCCGGAATGCCAGAGGATGGAGAGAGGAGGATGGCAGTACGCAACGTGATTTATTTTCATTTGGAAATCCACAGCCACCCGAATTCGACGCTCCGTCATCCTGACATTCGAATTGAAATGCAAATTCTGACGAATGTGCGCACGTTGTGCGCCTAGGGTCGGTTCTGCGAGGCGGCGAGGCGACGAGGCTGCAAGACTGAGAGGATATCGACGCTGCGTCGCCTCGACTCGACAATCAACGACTTTCGATGGTAAATGAGCCAGTCTACCCAGGAGCGTTACAATCGGAAATACACATGTGCTCATACGCCCAAAATCGCATATCCCGCACATTTACATATGTGCTTATATACAAGCTGTATAAATAGGTGTGCGTCTGTGTGTGTGGGTGTGTGTGTGTGGTGGGTGTATGTGTACATAGGCAAATGTTTACAGTTGATGCTTTAATATTTAACCTCTGATATAGCCCTTTAACTATCACATAATCTACTATATTTACATGAATTTCAGATGCGCTTGTCAATCAATGTGAAAGTGCATCAGGCAGCATCATTTATGAAATTGACGATTTCATTGATGACTCTATGAATACCCTAAGAGGAAAAGGATTTTAAATGCAATTAAGTATTTGTATTTTAGCTTAAATTGTACGATTTTTAATTCAATTAAATATTCGAGGTATTTCTTTTTACCAACTCCAACTATATATATATATATATAGGTATATCTTTAATTATTTGACTGTCTGTTTGGGTACTAAAGTGCTCATCCTTTCTTAAGTTGCATACAAAGGTATATGTAATACATATTATGTATGAAATTGATTTACTCTTGCATACAACTACAAATATAATCAAATTTAAAATGAGCAAATGAAATCTTCACTTAGGATTACTCTTTATACAAGAATGTCTATTAGATAGGTATATGAAATGCTATAAAGAATCATTTATAGCCATATTAAGGCAGCAAAGGGCAACAGCGTCACTTCATGCATTCTTTCGCTGATGTCTATAGTCTAACTAGAATCTTTTCAATTAATTCCCTTATGGGCTAGCTTACTTTTAATTTAGATTTAAAGATACTCACCGAACATTTTAAATGGAGTGGAAATTGTTAGTCGGCTGCAGCCTTCAGAATGTTAGACAATAGATTTACAGGGTGCTTCATCGTAGGTCCAATGGGAGTGGGCATAGTGATACATGCTGCCATGCATAAGTATGTGCATGTGTGTGTGTGTGTGTGTTGGTGTATATACATAGCTGCTGCTGCACATACATAGTAATCACATTTAGTCAAGTGTGTCCATTCGAAGGCTTGCGGCTGGGCATTCTCTTAAAAGCAAGCAGGACATCGTACTTACTCACACACAAACACACACACACACACATATGCACAACAGCATAAACATATTTATGTGTACATGTGGGGTCAACTCGTATGTAAATGCTGCTTATAGACAGCATTAACAAGTTCACTTCATGCGCACGTCTGTCTGTCTCGCTGTCCCGCTGTCCGGCTGTCTCGCTGTCCCGTTGTCTCTCTGTGGCGCTGTCTGTCGCTGTGTGTGCAAATTCCTTTATTGTACATAAAATGGAGAACGCTCTCACCACCCACACTCACACACATACCCACACACTCGCTCTCTCTCTCTGTCTCTTCCTCTGTCGCCGTCTCTGTCTGTCACGACACTCAGCTGCCATGTTACCGTTTTCGTCCGCAACGCTTCCAGCTATACACGGCTATAACTGTATCCCTTTCGAAGTCGACGACATTGCTGATGCCCTGTAGGAAATGAGCGTTGACTCCTGGAGTCAGCCTAAAAGTAGACTACAGTGCATGCAAGTGCTTAATTGAATTGAAATGGGCAATATTTAACGCTACGGCGTGTACTTTCAGCTTAGTGTAAATTTCAATTTTCATTTATAAATATTTAATAATAGAATATTAGATTTAAAGATTCGCCACTGTGACGCTCTGTCAACAGGGTTGTTTTTCATGTGAGCTTTTTTGTTGGTTGTTAGTCGGTCTGCATGCACACACACACACACACACATGCCCAGACTCACACTCACACACACGCACACACGTACACGTTGGTGAGTTACTGTCGTTGGGTCTCGACGGTCCAGTCCAGGCGGCAGTGCAGGCAGGCAAAATAAGTTGTTCAAGTGGCAGCTTAATTCGCATAAAATGAAAACACGCTGTCTACATTGTTCCTACAACTTTTCCCCGAGTTTTTATGGCACTTAAAATGGCTGCTAGACAAAGGGTTACAGCCAAGCGGTTGCTGTAAAATCTATTGCAATTGCGCCTTGGCCTGCTGCTGAGCAGAAAACTCGAGTCTTGTTCTGCGGCTTTTACAAAATAATTACAAACTATTCATTAAGCATATACCACACTAAATAGTCCCTATGTATTTGAATACTCTATGGAAGATGATAGTATGTACTCTACTCGACAAGTATGCATATCCTAAGTTCATCTACTATATAACTAAAGACTAAATATGAACATTTCTATATATCCTTGTTCTCTTTAGCACTCGCTTTGTTAGTGCATAAATTGACGCTAATTTATGTGCAAGAATTAAACTTGAAATAATTGTTTATATTCCCTCAAACAAATGGGAGCAGACGAAATGAAGACATTATAAAGGAATTTAATATAAACAATGTTGCTGCATACTTGCGGTATTTTATAATAATCCAAATGCCAACTGAACGGACGTGCCAAGTGGCTGACCAACTTAATGGCACGGTCAACACGAAAGCCTGAACAGGCCTAGGTGCATATATATACATGTATATATATATAAAACAGTCAGAAGCAGCAGCAGCAGCAGTGGCTGAAGAAGAAAATGTAATTCTAGTAGCTCAACTGAGGCAGGTGGCATTGTTGATGTACAGCAACATATATATCTAGATGTCATCGAGTGTTATTAAGGGCAACGGTGAGAAAGTGTCGAATGAAGCGGCCCAGTTGAGTTATAGCCATAAATGGAAATTGGTTATATGAGATATTGCCAATAAATATATATATATAAATGAAAAGGACGATACAAATTTGTATGACAATTGTTATTTGGACTCTTAGAGTGTAGAGCATATCATGTTTTCCGATTTACCCTACCTCAAAAAAAACATAGCTAAATATATCATATTTCCTATATCTGTATAAAAGACCATTCAGCATAAATCTATCTATCTAATATAAAAAAAATGTTATAAATATTTTTTAATGAATTTTTTTATTAAATCTTAAATAAATGATTAATTAAGATTTACTAATATCTCAATAAGCTCGATATTCGAAGACTCTCCATGAACAGACAGATAGACAGTTGAATAAACTTATCAAAGCTAAAGCCAATATACCCTTTTAACTTCATGAACCAATATAAATATCCTTGATTCTGCACGCTATCTCAATTAGCATAACAATCTTAATCAATAACATTCGAATGCAGTTGAGTTTTTGTATGTAAATTAGCCAAGTGCAGTTAACAAATGAAGGAAATTATGAATATCCATGTTAGCAAACTGTAACAAGAGCGCTGAAACAGTAGGAAATACGATGTTGTATTTCGCCCACCATTAACAATAGCTCAGATTGAAGAGATATGTGTATGAATATATATATTAATATATATTTCTTCACAATTATTTGCAGAGTTAACAAGTTCGTAGACGTAGAAATGTGCGTGTAGTCTAGTTAGCTGCAAAAATTAATTGAAGAATTTCACAGCACATAACGCTACCCTGCGAGCAAGAAAAAAAATACGAAAAATATACAGCACACACAATGTCAGCTAATCACGGAACGGAGTTGCATGTTTTGCCACTAACATATTCAGATATGCACATGAATATTCAATGAGTGCGTTTTTGCGAGAGAGCGAAAAACTAAAAATCATTTTCAAATGCACTGCGATGGATTGAATGAGTGCAGAAAGTAAAATGCGAATACATATCATATTTATACACATATTATATTTATGTTAAGATGTATAATAAGACCGCTGACGAGGCATAGCCTAAATAGATGTAAGATATACAATCTGTTAATATAAACAAATGTTAATAAATCATACATCAAAATTTATTGCAAGACTCGAGACTTTGATGGACTGCGAAAGCCCATTAAAAAATAGATACGCAATTTATAATAAAGCTAAGTAAGTTTAGAAACGGAAGAAGAGGAATGGCCTTGATATTAAGAGACGGGAGGGAGGCAGATTTTAACCGTTAAAAGTCCATCATATACTAGGTTACTTTAATTCTTCCAAATAGCCTTTTTTTAAATTAAAAAAATATACATAATTCATCCGGCAATTTCTCAAGAAATCAACAAATAGTAGCCACAGCAAAGTCAGCTTTTCAAATTTCACTGTCAAAGCTCATTTGTTTGTTAACTGCTAGAGCACACCTCGCAGAGCACAAAACTCTGGCCATAAAACTATTTAAATGCACTTGAAACCACATTTTGCTCTTCATATTTTATTATAACCACTCAGATGTTAAAACAATTATTCCTTAAACACCCTTTAGTCTGAAGTATGTATATGCATACATACATATATAAATTCGCTCTATAACTAGGGCCAGCGTTACGTTTCGCTGATTTCCCCACAGCCGTCCGTGTAAGCCATCAGAATTTAGCGGTTAAATTATGCATAAATGAATAATTAAATTTTATAATGGTGCAAATTGCGAATTGAATTGTTTTCGCTATTCCACACTTGCTGAACTTTGAATAACCTCAAACATTTCTGGCGATAGTTCAGAGTCTAGCGAGAATATAGCTATATATGTTGTGTATAAAGAATACAAATTAAAAACAAAATTCTTTTCAAATGACAAAATGTCTCTTCATGAAAATAACGCTTAAATGTGAGTGTGTATATTTAATAGCTATAATTTGTATACTATTTAAAAATAATTCAGATAGGAACTACTCTGCATGAGGTCCCCAACTAGATCAACAATTCTTAAATAGAATAAATTATTTATTGGAATCTAAGCTAACAACAAACAACGATTGCATACCCTGTATTCTACTTGAACTTTCAAAACTCCTGGATATCAAATACCCTATATTTCATCTACTCCTTTCAAACTTCAACCCATTATTTTTTTTTTTTTTTTTTTTTGCTTTTAAGTTTAATGCAAATATACGTGAAGCTAGAGAATTGACGTTCGGCATGCGCTTCACACATATTTAGCCATAAGTTTTATTACCATCTTGAATATAGATATTCCTCTATATGTATATATAATAGCATGCAAATAGGGTAATGCTGGACATGTGTGCGCTTTAGCGGCAACTGGTTCTCTGAGAGGGGAGCGGCGAGCGGCGAGCGGGTACAGCTACAAAGTATATCAAGATGCAACAATATTTCCGCTGAGTGGAGTCGCGCTAGTACGAGACTCGGCTAAGTTGGCCTAATTAAAAATTCCTATGGGGCAATTGCAAAATTGGTTTCTTATCTTTCCTTTATTATCGGCGCCACGAAACGCCTAAACATGATGCGCTGATGGATAGCTGCCTCGGCGAGGGGCGGGTGTTGCAACATTTGACCGCATGCTCAACGGGGCCGGCTAGAGTGTGTGTGTGAGAGAGAGAGAGAGAGAGAGGGTGGGGGGAGAGGGAGGTAGAGGTAAAGGCAAAAAGAAAAACCTGCTGCATTTATGAATAATATTATTTACAGCATGATAATTTTCTGTTTCGGCTTTGCGCTCCTTGCAATCGCTTCTTACCATGCTGTTAATGCCTGCCAAAGCGACGAAGCCGTTTTGTGAAGTATTTTCTGTTTATGGCCCGAGTCACGCGATATTAAGTACTCACTCGCACTAGCTGCGTGCGCTCTTTCATCGAGTTCAAAGCATTGCACTCACGCCCGTACCCAAAACTCACTCAAAGCCAGCTAAAAAGCTTTTGTCAACTGCCATCTGAATTTTATACGGATTAAAGCACTTATATGGATTTAAATGGGCATAATTCAGAATAAAGTCTCTAATTGAACTAGTAAGCAAATACTAGCAAGATAATTTACTCTGAGCGAAATACATTTTACTTAGTAATTATATTTGTTGCTTTGATATTGTAGAATCAAATTGGGCATATTCTCAGATGTAATCAGAGTTCTCATTTCGATTGAGACTGCAATTAAAATATTTTTTATACAAGCTATACATACTATATATTCAGACAATTGCCTTAGAATGGGTTCAATTAGTCTTAGTAAAATTCTATTTTCAAATAAACATTTCAGTCATTCGTCACATTTGAGCACATGCCTTTAGTGCAAAGTAGTATACCCTACAACATATACCCTATAAATTTCAATAAATATCTATCAAAATATGCTAATAATTAGTCTAAGCAATGCCCAAGTTTGGGAAATACATATACATATATAATTTATAATAATATAAATACCAACAACACTTTAAATTTCTTTAATAATAAGTAACTAATTAATACTAATAAATTTTGAATTTAATTAAAAGTGGCTTATCAACTAAAATAGTTTTAAAAAAAAATAACCATAAAAGTCATTAAAAAAAAAAAAAATTGCAACAAAATTCTTCTTCAACTGCAGGGCATCACTTAGTCGACTACTCACATTTCAAGCTTTACAGCTTTAAAATTGATTTTTGAACTAAAGCCAAAAAAGCAAAGCTTTTCACACTCTTTAGACGAAATACAGGCACACAATTTCTGTGCATATCCAAATAGCCTAGATCTTATTATTATTATAATAATTATTATAATTGTGTTGTTTGCCATGTCACACGGAGCAGTTGAAAGTTTGTGGCGCGCTTTCGCCCGCCCCCCCGTCAAGGACAAACTTTTTGAAAGTCAAACGCTGTTCCTTCACATGGCTCAGCGGCGCTTTTTGATTTACTTACCCGCGGATCACTTGAGGCAGTCGTCGTCGTTGTCGTCGTTGGAGTTGACCCACCGTCAGATGGCACCGCCCAGCCCAGACCAGCCAGAGTCGGTGGCACCGTTAGCCGCACAGCTCCGTCGCGCCGAGTTGCGTTGTGTCGTGTCACGATTGATTCGTGCCTGGCACATCGCACACGATTCGCATCGATTTGCGCGCGCCCACTCTCGCCCATGATGTGCGCAATGCCGTGTTCGAGCGCATACTAGTTGCGTTCCAAGTTGTGCTTGACGCCGGCGGCCGCTCCGAGTCGGGCCGAGGGGTTGTGCATTCGGCGCATGCGCATTGCCGGCGCCGGGCCACTCGCTGTCGAAACTGGTTTGCTCTCCGAGTGCGAGCGGGACAGATGCATGCGATAAAATGATGGCAGCACTGCTCTTTCCAGCTGCCGTTGCCGTTGCTGCTGCTGCTGCTGCAAGTGTGTGACGTGTGTGGGGCCCCCAATTGGAATTGCAGGCGTGGAGGGGAAATTGCTCCGCCCATTGAAAAGCTGCCAATTTTCGTATCAGCCGGCGTATTTTTAAGTTTTCAACTTTGCCATGTAGTTGTAGGGTTTTAATTAGTACATTCATATAACGCGAACGAAAGGAATGAACCCACACACCATCCGAAAGTAGGTATGTAGTTCGACACACACGAGAGGAGCACTTACAGTAACAGGTAAGCAATAAAAGCACACTAAGATCACTTGATTTATATTTATAGCTATAACCAAAAGTATTTTAGATCTAATTCAAGTCTAAGTTGGGTTTGTGTGTATTTAATTTGGGCTTTGTTATAACTTGTGATCAGGACTGGTATAAGTCTTAAGAGGAGTTTGACATTAGACTAAAAAGTGAAGCAAAGCTCATGCTTATGTGAAAGCCTAGCAACAATTTGGGTAAGTCTCTCTAGAAAGCTAGGATAACTAAGCCTGCTGTCAGGCAGTGAGTGTCTTACAGAACTAATACATGCCTTTGACACTAGTCTTGAAATATGAGCACAAATTTTGAAGATCTAACACGAGTCAGAGTCAGAGGGAAAATGTTACATTCGAAATATTATCAGATCTACATAGTTTTCAGGCAGGTAGTGCAGGACTCTCGTTTTGTACATTATCGCTCCAATGTGCGCAGAGCATACACACTCGACATATGTGTACATATGTACTTGCCTATGTATGTACGTGCGTGTGTGTGTGTGTGTGTGTGAGTGTGTGTGGAGCATCTATAGCTATAGCCAAAGGCCTGCACATGAGCCTACTATGTCCGTCTACGTCTATAGACTCTGAACATGAGCTAATCAGCAGAACTCAAACAGCGTACCCCGACCACCCGACCACCCGGCCAACCGGACACCCGGCCACCGGTGCTGGGCTGGCAGCCACCTCGCCGTGCTGCCTGGACTGTCGAAAATTGCGTCCATGTCATGCATTCGCATCCATTCATTACCCACTAGTAGCTGAGTGGCCGGACAACAGCGTTTGGCGTTTTGGATCCCTGCAAATATGCCGTGTTCGCATGTTATCCCAAATGTTCGGAGTGCCCAAATGCACCCGCTGCACATTAGCCGGCCGAGAAAAAGAGAGGGGGTGAGGGAGACGGAGAGAGAGAGAGAGATCTGGACGCTGGGCACCGGTCACTGGTCACTGGTCACTGGGAGTTGGGCTTTCTGTACTTTATTTTGCCGAACGAGCAAACATCTTGTCCGACTAGGAAACAAATGGCTTTGCTGGTTTCAACATTCAGCTGCTCCTTTTTTGCATGCCCGTCTTCCTTTTTTTTTTTTTTTTTTTTTTTTTTTTGTCCACTTTTTTTCGGTGTTGTTACGGGCTGACTTGGCCGTCCGCACACAGTGCTTCACTAAATCCTTCTATATGCATGTTTACACAGCATCCTATCCCTTCAAGTATTTCAAAAATGTTCCACGATGCACAAATGTTGTTTTACCAAATGCAAAAATACTTTGCTTTAACGTGTTAAGAGAGCACGACTTTCCCGTCGAAATCAACTTTAATGCAAATTAGTTTTTGCTTTTAAATAATATCCATTGAAACGTAACAGAGGAGATCTTGAAGAGGTTCCCCCAGTTGCCAAGTATATAAAATCTTTAGTATAAATATAAACTAATATTATATAAATCATTAATATACATACATATGAAATAATTATTTCATCTGAATATATGGAAGAAAATTAAGTAAATAATATAATAATTTGTATATTATTAGTACGAAGCTTTTGTTAATAAGAAAGTCGAGTAAGTCAAGAGAGAGACAGCTTGGCTGGAAGCGTCCATATTTATACGATAGAAATAAAGATGGACTAAGTAAAGTTTACTCTAATGCATGATTTGTAAGTAAAAGGTAAGCATTTAATTATATATATGTGTGTACAATGGATTCTATTAAATATTAATAGAATTTCTTGAGTTTTATAAGTGAGTTATATGAATTGATATCCCTAATATAATTGACCCAAACTTCTTGGACAGAAGAAAATAATTTTTGTATTAATTCTTCCTATTCTAATTTGATCAAATAAAGTATCATAATTAAATTTAATTATATGGTCTGATCATCAAGTATTAAAACACATACTCCAGCTAAGTCTACAGAATTCGTGCTTAAGTTACATTGAATGCTAAGGAACATCTAATTATTATAAATAATCAGAATATGCTCTTCAAAATATCTTCTTAACTGACATAAGCATGCTAGACTCCTTGCAACTTCTGTTGATCAGCTTCGAGCTATACCCCATCGAATTTTGACTTGCTTTGGACATACGAAATAGGTTTGAAACTTAAACATAGACTTATCATACAAATACATAAAATATAATAATATATCATAAAATTCCAAAGACAAGTCTCAGTCAAGTCTTGTATAGGTGAAGCACAGCAAGCAACCCATCATAGGCCACTCAGTTACATAATCAGCACTCGTTCCGTGAAACGATCAAGCGAATGAGCCCTAAGCCAAGAAGATAAATAAACAGAGACAAAGCAAAAGCCAAACTGAGGGAAACATGAGCCAAATAAAAAACCCATTTGCACACAAATTTACTCCCAAAATGGCCAAGGAGCGCATCATTCAAGTTGGACTGCTCTTGGACTCTCCACTGGGCACTTGGAGCTGGCCATTGGCAACTGGCATTTGGTAACTGGACACCGGATGCAGATAAATCTTTGGGCTGCCGCCAACAGCAACAGAAAGCAAAACAAGCTGAAAGCTCTGGCAAGACAAGTGCGAGTGCGTTTGCATGCGCACGAGGACCTCAGTCTGAGAGTTAAAGCTCGATCGGAATCATGCGATAAGCAGGCTTCCCAATCGCCACTCGTCCCTGCTGGCCGCTCTTCGCCTGGTCTCTCCTGCTACTACCTCAGCCCCCCTCCGCCAATTCCCCAAATGCCATTTGGGACTCGTTGACAAACTTAATTGCGCCTATTCCTGCATTAATTGTACACACACGCGCGATTGGGCGCACGATTTGCATGGCGTCTGTGGCTGCCTCACTGTGTCCAGCTGCAGCGCCTGCAACTGGTCTGGCTTGAGATTTCTGTTCCATGCTTCATATAGGGCGGTACGTGCTACCCAACTAGCCGGCGGAATGTGTTAATTAAATATTTAAATTATTTCCATCATTAATGGAGGATCGCCAATTGGTGAATATAAAGTATATATACGGTTCGAGTTGATGTTGCTTCCAGTGCGTCTAGACTACATATTTGTGGCAGCAACACCAACAACAACAACAACAGCAGCAGCAGCTGCAGCCACAGCTACATTGGTTTAAGCCCCCGCCATGTCAGAGTCACAGTCGGAGACGGAGTCCGAGTGCGCTCTGCCTTGTTCGATCTGCGTTTGTATTTGGTTTTTTTTTTTCACTTTTTATTTATTTTTGCTGTTACGTTTTTTTTGCATTTGATGTTGGGGCAGCGTGAAATGAAAAATGGCGACACGCGTCCTTTGGGCAAAAAACCACAAAACAATTTTATTTTATTTCCACACACACAGCAGCAGCAGCAGCAGCGGCAGCGGCAGCGGGGACAATAATTTAACGGCCAACGTGTCCTTGCGCCAGGACAATGAATTTAAATAAAATTAATTAAATTTGTTTTTCGATGGGAATTGGAGTTGGCCACGCAAATTGAAAACTGTCGAACGAACATTTCGACCATTGTACAATTGGCCCTTCATCTGCAACGGTTTTTTGTTTGTTTCCCCCTCCCCCCACTTCAGTCAGAACAGTTGGAATTCCCACCGCAAGGATAACAACGACAGCAGAGCCATAAACTTGTACGCTATCAATATACATTCGAGCATAGATAAATTAGAGAACGCTTGCGCCTACAGCCTACATTTCAGATACAAATTAGAACCGCGTGGCCAATAGAGCGCCGGCTATCAGCGCAGCCATTCAAACGCCCATCACACACACACACCCGCACACACACACACACACACACACACACGCACGCATATACAACCGCGAATGTACGCAAAACATAACCATGCCCGAGCAACGTCCTCCATGGTGTAACGTGCGCCGGGGGCAGCTTCTGCTGCGGCCCGCTCTCGAATGAGTTATAGCGCTTGTTGGCGATTTTATTGCCACAGCGCAGCCATAAAATATGGTAAATTATAGCGGTTTGTTGTTTTGGCCATTTTGTAGCCAAATAATGTACCACGTGTGCGTCCGGACCCTGTGGACCTGTTTCGGATACGGATTGCCAGCCCAAAAGACCACTATTCGCTATCCACTAGCCGCCGCCTGCCCAACTGCGGTCGTGTTAAAAACTCTGTCTGTTTTCCTTTTTTTGTTATTTTGTTCTTTTTTTTTATAAAAAAAAAAAAAAAAACTTACTTTACATATTTAGGGAACTATTTACAAGTGCAAATATGTAGGCATGTAAATATGTTATACTATACCATACATCCTATTCAGGTGAATTTTCAGCATAAAGCTTAAAGATTGTAGTTGATAGGGTACTTCAAGACAGTTTAACACTTAGACTGAATGTGTAAATGCTTGAGAAATTTATCATAATGATATATTATGTGCTATATAAAGAGAATTTCTCATATAGAACACTCTTAGCTATAGGTATAGAGCGAATATATAATAAAAAATGTGATCATTAGCTTAGTTTCAGCTGAGATTTCCTTTAGACTAAGCAGGAATACCTTCAAATATGTTTCTAATGGAAATATAGTGTGATTAATTTTAAGAATT